CCCCCCCCCCCCCCCGCCCCTCCTCCTCCTCCTTCTCCCCGTCCCCGTTAGAAGCCGACTGTTGTTTATCAGAGTGCAAAGGGGCCACAACCCCGTTAGAAGCCGACTGTTGTTTATCAGAGTGCAAAGGGGCCACAACCCTTCGGCTATGTTCATGTTTGGGGGAAAAAGGAAACAAGCAGAGAAAACACTATTAGGTTTGGGGGAAAAAGATACAAAACAGAGAAAACATTGTTAGTTTTTTTTTGGGGGGGAGAGGGAGGGGGAACACAGAAAACAAGGGACTGCATCCAATACATAGAGGAGTTGCATAAATTAAATTCATTCATAATTAAATTCCTTATCCAACTCATTATGTAATTGGAACTAGATTTTTTTTGTGTTTTTTGTTTTTTTTTTCCAACTAGTTTATAATTTTTGTAATTTTATAAAATGTTATCGAATGGGGGAGCGGCGTTACCGGGAGACAAGCGTAGCGCTTGGGTATCTCCGCCGCCGTAAGCGATTAGCGCGTACGGCGCTACCTGGCCGATACCTGCGCCATCACGACGGAGGTGGGGAGTTGTGCTGCTCGCCTTCACTTAGGAGGTAGGCGTTGCCATGAAGCAGCCGCGTCACTCAGGTAGTCCATATCCTAGCTAGGTAGAGGAGCAAGGTCGCCGTAACTGAGAAGTTATCCCGGGTGAAAGAAGACACGGGAGATGAGGTAGAAGGCCAGGCTACACAAGCTGTCCAGGACTCTGGCGAATAGCATGAACCATGTAGCAGACCATAACCCCTGTACAGGAGTAAAGACAGCGCGTGGTAGGTAGGGCAGCGAGTTAGCATGGCCCAGTAAATGGAGTGTAGTTCACCCCCACCTCGGCGGCACGGAAGGTCCTTCTCTCGTACTAGGTGCGTAGACCGTAGCCGGGAGAGGGAAGCTCAACCCAGGCCAGGCGCTGGCCTCGAAGATCTGACGACAGTAGGTTAACTCTTCCTATCGAAACGAGGTGGCAAGGAATTTATCACGGTGAGAAGATGGAGTTACCGAAAGAATGAGGATTTCACGGGGAGAGTTAAAGTCAAATCGATAATCATCCGATATTACGCACGTCAGGGCCCAATGGACACTTGCTCACTGGGTATGCAAGGAATTACCAAGGGGGAAGTTGTTCTCTTGCTGACATCAGGAGACAGACCAAGCAAGGAGTTACCACGGTAAGAGAGAATTACGGGTAGGGACAAAATTCAGGCAGAGGAGAGAAGAGGTGGTATCCGACAATCTACGACTGTTAGGTCGGCACGGAGCAGCAAGGGATAAGGAAGGAAGTCACCATGGGAGGACGGAGGTACAATAGGAGGGAATATATCACCTCCGGAGAGCAGGGTTAGAAATGATAATTGCCTGCATCTTCGGAGAGTTTCACACGGGACAAAGAGGTTGATCTCACTCGGGGAGGCTACACATGGTGTTAACACTCGAGCGAGAGAGCTCCGTTCGGTATCCTCAGTATGCACATGGCATGGGAAGTAAGTACGAAGCGTTAAAGCCCATGTTTTCCCAAAATTCGTGTCCTACAAGAGAGAAGACGAGATAACTAAGGAAGAGTATTCGGGCGAGCTCATGAGAAAGTAACACTTACCTTGCTCGTTCAACCGGAAGTGGAATCGGGGAAGGATCCTGAGGCAACCAAGGATCTAACCCGAGGCAGGAGCGGGAAGAGGCAGGCAATCGCCCAGATCGGAATAGAACGTGTCACGGAGGAGGGAAACAGGGTAAGGGAATGTTGGGCAGAAACGGGAAGGGCATCTATATCCTGTCGGGGTAAAGTGGAGTAGAAACAGTAAATGCTAACGCCAAGGCTTACAACCCTCCTCACACAGACAGCTTCGTCCTGTCGGCATAGAACGAGCGTGAACTCAGTCACGCAGACCAGTATTAGTTAGGACGGGGAGCTGGCAAGCCATGGCGAACGTATCAGGGGAGGTAAGATCCCACCATCCCCTCCCTCTCACAGCGGAGGAGAATCTTTCCAGAGTGCGAGCTTCGGTGGGTCGATGCTATGACGAAGGGATCTGTCCGGACGACACCAGCCTGGGGGAAGTGGTGGAAGATGAGCAAGGCAAACGATTTGTGGTGAGTGGGTTGGTAAACGAGGTGAAGAACCAGTGGTTAAAGGAGCGATCAGTAATTGTGGTCTTCCAAGGCGAAGCACGCAGCTTAGCAAGATCGGTCAAGGAGGACCTAATTCGTGCCTATGAAGACGGGTGGACAGCTAGATGCCTGTTCCACCCAGAAGCCAGGCGGGGAAGAGTCAAATTCGAGGGCCCCAACGTCGTTTCCTACGTCGCCAAAGCCAAGGAGATAGCAGACTGGCTACTGCAGCAGGGTGAGTTAAAGATCAAGCTAGGACTGAAAGAGTACCAGGTGTTATTCAAACCAAGGTTGACAGAGCGAGAGTTACAGATCGTTCGCATCTTAGAGGCTGAAACCAAATTTTGGATAATGGCTCTAAGGGTCCCATTAGATGCATACTACTATATGAGATCGGCAGTAAAGGGAATGTTTGGGGATATCGTGGAGGTCCATAATCCGGAGTATGATAGGGATAGACCGAAACTGATGAACGTTAAATTCGACATGCCACCAGAGTCCCGCAGCAGGATTGATGACGAACTGGTCATTCAATCCCCCACGGGGGAATGCTGGAAAGTAGAGATAGTGTCTCCCTATACAGATTGGTGCAAGAGGTGCAGGTGGCATTACCACACAGCGGACAACTGCCCCCGTCGGCAGAAAGATGAGGGCCGTGGCAACAATGGGGAGCGGCAAGGAGGTCACTGTGCTCGTTACTGTGAGTTCCAACACAGTCGGGAACGGAGATCAAGCGAAGACGCGGGAAATGGAGGTGAGGAGATCAGGGGGCAGAGAGGTTCTTCACGGGTGATGATAGGACAAGACCGTACACGATCCCAACGAGAAAGTTACGCACAGCCAAGCACGGACAGAACAGAGCAGAACCGGTGGCGTCACGAGCTCAGAGCTTCAGAGCTGGCCGCAGGCGCAGGCGAACCCCGGCGGGGAGTACACGGCGACTCACAGGCCTTTCGACAATGCACCCTCCTTCAGCCAACAGAGACTCCACACTAAGGCATGCTTCAAGGATGGGGGGGAGAACACGCCCGAGGGGGAGGCCCACAAAGGGAAACAAGCCTACCTTTCATAACCCCCTGGCAGGCCAGAGAGGAATGGACAGGCGGTATTCCTCCAATTCAGCAGAACGAAAGCATGTGGGAAGGTGCAACGGCGAGGGGAGAGCAGGTACCCCTGAATCACTCTTTCTGGCAAAATCATTCCCATCAGCACCCCATGAGGGACGAAGGGGCCGTGCATCACCATCACCAATACAGGGATTGGCAGTACGACACCGGACAAAGACTAATCGAAAACCCGGAGGCCCGGTACCCATTGAGTTCCTACGATTGGAGACGCCTGGCCCCCCAAGCTCAAGACACACAGCAACTAGACACGCCCAAATGGGAAGGGGGAGGCGGATCGCAGAGAAGGCGTAAGAGAAGTAGAGAATCAAGGTGGGAAGCGTGTAGAGAAGACAGTTGGAGGAATAGAGGCGACGGTGCTCAGTCCTGGCGCCAGGACATGCAACGCCAGATGGCATCAGTACGAGAAGAGGAAGAGACAGCAAGGGGAGGGGGTCAGACCCCCCCCAAAGAGGAATTGTCCAAGACATCTATGACGTCTCAGTCAAGAGTAAGATGGAGCAGTGAGTGCGAAGAAGAAGTCGGCGGGGAATCCCGAAACCGGGCCCCCTCCTCCCCGTTGGAAAGTTCAGCAGGTTCAGGCCACAGACAAGCAGGCGAACACAGACACACAGTGGACAAACAATTCAGAGCAGAAGCATTAGGCAGGAATCACATGGAATCGGTCCAACGGCGTCTGGTCCCACTCCTATGCAACCACACAGAGAGAGGGGTCTTCTTCTTGACAATGACGGACGGAGACGGATTCCCATGCATTCCATCAGCAGATGTGGCAAGCTCTCCAACACCTGCAAAGATCTTGGAGGAAACTCGAAGGCTGTACGGGGACCATGTACCAGTGCGACTCATTCCACACTCCACGATGGCGAGTCTGATCTGCGAAACAGTCCAAGGGTATAGGAAAATGTACTTCCCCCTACTGGACGCAAGAATTCCTTCGGAGACAGTGAATACTCTGACGCAAGCAGGGATACACTGTGTTCATACCAACCTGATACGCGAACGGAACGTACAGGAACCGGAGGCTATCAGAATCCTTCTTGGCGTCTCTGCAATGGCCCTGCTGAACGTGAATGAAAAACTGCAGCCAGACGAAAACTTTCACTCCAGCTTCCTAACGGACAGGTTAATGGAAGAATGGCGTTCCTTCTCTCGCACCAGCTCTTCGAGAGGTAGCTCACGCGTGCACAGGTCTCGGGACACAGCAGACAGGTATATGCCAGGAGAAGTAGGAGCTGAGACATCTTCCCGCATCCAAGCCAAGGCGGGCACAGACAACATCAATGGATAAGATCAAAGCAGCTACTTGGAACATCCGTGGCCTGGGAGACACGAACGGGAGATCAGAAAAGAGGTTGCTGAAGTCCTGGCTACACGAAAGGAGGGTGAACTGCGCAATGTTGCAAGAGACGAAGTTGAACGAAGAAAAGTTGGGCGCAATCTCATCTTGGTGGGACGGCCCCCAAGTGTGGTCCCCGGCGCAGGGAACCAAAGGGGGGGTTGGTATCCTTCTCCACCGAGACCTGCAGGCCAGCGTGTTGGACTCAGAAGCGGACATGTGGGGGCGTTGGGCTTGGCTGAAGGTAGAGATCGCCGGTGAAGAATGGGTGTTTATGACGATTACGCCCCAACAAAAGTGAGGGAAAGAACAGAGTTTTTCACAAGGCTCATGTTACATATTTCGGAGACAGAGAAATTGGTGCTGGCAGGGGATTGGAACTTGTCCTTGGACAAGGCTCTGCGATGCGGTTCAGCAAAAGCGGATAGGAGTGACGTGCAGGCACTGTTGGGACTGTGTGCCGAGCTAACCCTGGTGGACCCATTCCCAACCTTGAACCAAGGGGAACCAGGTTATACGTGGTACTCACACATGTATAGGGAGAGGCAAGAGGTAACAAAGAGACGCCTAGACTACTTCTTGCTGGGGGAACAGATCCAAGACCAAGTCACGACGGTGCACAGCGTGTGTCACCCGATGTCAGACCACAAGCCCGTGGCAATGGACATTAGGCTGAACGACCAAGTACTAGAAGAGCCCGGAGTGAGAGAGTGGGTGGCAGTGCACATGGCCAGTGGGAACAAACAAGGCAATACTTTGAGTCCACCGCAGACTGGCTCGATGGCGGCTTAGCAACCACCTCAGGCGCTCTGGACGTCATTTCGAGAAGTCTGGCGAGAGAAAGGAACAAGAAAGAAGCAGATTGCAAGCGAAGAGTAGAGGAGGCAGAAGAGAATATGGAGGGCAATCCTATCTCAGCAATGGTGTGGGCAGCAGAAAGGGAGAGGCGCTTGAGCGAATGGAACGCTATACAGGAGGAGAAACAGAAGAGGTGGACAGACATACTAAAGGTAAAGGGAATCGAGACCAACGACAAGATGACAAAAGAGACTTTCCATAAGCTGCAGCCGAGACGCACCCAGCAGCAGATGGTGGAACTAAGACACCCTGTCGACGCTGCTGCTCCGACAGCCTGCGCTGCCTCCGGCATGCTCCAATACGCCAGGCTTTACTACTCTGACATCCTCACCTCTAGGCGACCACAGGAGGACGTATATATGGACCTGGCTAACGTCTCAGACATGTGGGAAGATACCACTGTAAAGCTGCAGATTATAGCTAGGCTGGATCTGGACCGCCCCATCTCTCTCGCGGAAGTGACGCAAACTATCAAGTCAATGGCAGTGGGAAAATCGCCAGGAGTAGATGGACTAACTGTGGAATTTTACAGAGCCAACTGGGCGGTCTACGGTCCCCTCCTAGTGGAGCTCTACAATGAGATTCTAGTGGGAGGCAGACTGGGGAGAGGGATGACGCGTGGCGTAATAATGGTCCTCTTCAAGAAGGGGGACAAAGCAGACATTCGAAACTGGCATCCTATATCACTCCTGAACCTGTCATACAAGATCCTTGCGAAAACGCTTGCACGCAGACTCTCGAAATACTTCCCAGAGCTAGTAGGAAGAGACCAAGGCGCATTTGTGCAGGGCCACTCCATCTTCAACAACATTGTAACAGCAATTGAGACACTAGAGGTGGTGCAGGAGGAGAACCTGGACGTGGCAGTCCTCTTGCTCGATCTGGAGAAGGCCTACGATAAGGTCGGGTGGACCTTCACCTTCACGACCTTGAAACAGATGGGGTTTGGGGAAGGTTTCTGTTCCTGGTTCGTAGCACTGTACACGGTCTCGACATCAGCGATGATGGTGAATGGCCACCTCTCTGAGCCATTCCCTCTCACGAGGTGGCTGCGTCAAGGCTGTCCACTTGGCCCGCTCGTCTTTGTTCTGCAGCTAGAAGTCCTGCTGAACAGGATAAGGAAACACCCGGATATAAGAGGTTTGCAGCTACACACGGGGGAGGAGTGCAAAGTGAAGGCCTTGGCAGATGATGTGTTCGCAGTATGTGAAAACACCGAGAAGTCACTGATAGCTCTCAAGTCGGTGATGAGGGAATACTGCACTCTATCGGAAGCTACGGTAAACTGGAACAAATCCACGTACTTGCTGCCTGCACAGTTCAACCTGCAAGTAGAATGGGGAATGAGGAGAGTAGAATCAGGGGAGGAGGAAAGATTCCTAGGGGTGTTAGTGAGTATGCAAATTGGGACATTGTCCCAAGGACTGCTACTCCAGCAGCGTATCTCAGCCCGACTCAGATTGTGGGGCCACACATGGCACCTATCGCTGATCGGGAGAGCTTTAGTGGCCAATGTGGCACTGCTTTCCATTCTGTGGTTTGTCACAACGGTGAAGGAAATGGCAGAGGGCGTGATAAGGGTGATCAAGAAACTTGTAGCACGCTTCATCTGGAAACCAAGAGCGCTAGCCTCAGAGGGATTCCTGTCCAAGGTAGCCTATGACACACTGTCCTTTCCACGCGTCCAAGGAGGTCTGGGACTACTGGACCCCGGCCGCAGGAACCAAGCCCAGTTACAAGACTGGGTAGCCAAGGTGGCCAACGCCAAGGCAAGGGACCACTGGTTCGATCTCGCAGAACGGATACTGATGCGGGAGTGGGACCTCAGCAGACCCCAGGACGTATGGGACTGTTTCTTCATTCCGTCTTTTCGTAAAAGAAGACTCAAATCAGGTTTTTGGGAGCCCATTCGAAGAGCATGGCACCGCACTCCCCCGGATGTGCAGTCCCCGCCAGCCACCAGGGACGAAGTTCTGAAGCAGCTCTTATTTGAGAACCCGGCAGTTGTCAACCAAGCAGGACAAGCCTTCGCCGCGGACAGTTCCACAGGCACCTTCGGCCAAGCCTGGATCAAGAAAGGGGTAGTGCGAATCTCAGACCTTTGGTCCATCACCTTGGGGGGGCGGAAACCCCTGGCCGAAGTTAAGTCATCACTCAGAGGTTTGCAGAGGACGGAGGAACACTGGCGGGAGATCATAAATGCAATCCCGCAAGAATGGATGGAGATACTGGGTCCGGAAGGCATGGACCCAGCAGGCACGTGGTACGTCCCTGGACAAGAAGGAGAAGACAACGTGGTTTGGAAGGTACTAACAGTGCTCCCCAGCGGATTCAGGCGGGTAGAGCGATGGCGTTGCGAGGGCACGGCGAACCTACTCTCAAAAGGAAGACACAATCCTGCTATGGAATAACCCAGCCCAGGCTCGAGTAGTGATGGTAAAGGGCGTGAGACCATCAGCACACAGCTTCAGCTGGGTGGGGAAAGTCCCCCTCAACCAACTGTGCATTCATCCAACGGCTTGGGGATGGTCTGACAACGCTGAGGAAGAAGCAGCACTAAACCTACAAAACTACTCGGTCAATGTGGGCTACCGGCAACTCACACGTAAGCTGAAAACGCCAACCCAGGTGGCCATCCCTCGCTGGCAAGCAGTCTGGGAGGAAGACCTCTCAGAAGCCGGCCCGGATTTCGAAAGGCTCTGGCACATCTTAGCCACCCTTCCAAACGGAAAGCAGGTCAGCATTCTATGGTTGCTTTCGTTGATGGTTTCCCCATCAGCGGTCTGGCTCACCAGTAGAGGTTTAAAAGTAAGTCTGGCTTGCACTAGGTGCAGGTGGCCATTCGAGTCCACCCGACATCTATGGTGGGAATGCCTGGCGTCCAAGAGAGTATGGAACTGGTGGAAGGGCCACTGGGAGGAGATGGGAGGACAGGGAGTGGAATGGAACGAGAAATGGGTGCTCTTGGGTTTCCTACAGAACAACGTCAAAGGACACAGAGGGTGGGGCTACATTGCCCATGTGGTAAGAGGCCTGATCTGTGACACGATCTGGAATGACAGAAACAGATCCAGGTTCCAGAGGCGGCCGTTCGCAGATATCGAAACAAAGAGACATATCAAACAGGGTCTGAAGCACGCCATCTGGGTTGATTGGAGGAGAAGGGTAAAGTCCGGGAAGGGAAGCAGAAGCCAAATGCGATGGTTCAGCAGCACGTGGGGAAAAAGCCACCAACTGGCAACTGTGCATCCAGGAAAGGGACTAGTGCTGTCGAAGTGGATACTAGACGGGCCGAGCTCAGTAGTATAGAAACCGGTGGAGGAGAGGAGTCGCCCACCCAGTAACAAGCAGGAGACGGTGTTATAGATTAGATGCCTGGAAGCTCACCCAACCTAGGTACTCGGTTGAATAGGGCCGCAGTGGGCCGGTAGGAGAGTACCAGCAATAGGACCTGGACGCTGTCCTCTGGGCCGAGATAGTCCCAGTTTGTAGAATTTATTTAGAATTTATTCAGAACCTACTTAGAATTGTATTGGAAGTTGAGACTGGGACAGGGGTTCAAAGGAGAAGTATGTTCGCAAACACAGATTTCTTAAGAATGTGAAGTCCTGCAGATTGTGCTGTTTCAGATAGTTACTTCAAATAGGCTGGGAATTCGTAGGGGAAGAATTCCTGCAGGCACCTGCCTGTAAGCTAAGCTGGCCTGATGCTGTCAGTACCCTGGGTTGAATTGTGAGGTCCCCGGCCTCGAATTATGAATTGACGAATGAGAAACTGTTGATTTTGTTAGGGAAAAAAAAAAAAAAAAGAATGTTATCGAATCAATTGTCCAAGTGATTAGGTAGTTTCAAATTTTCATAAATTGAATTAAGTAATTTAAACTCCTATCCAAGTTGTTATCCCAACTCGTCGTTCACTAGCTAGGTGGTACTTCACCGTTCCAGAGTTCCCTATGGCTGCCTCTGCTACACTTTTCCCTTTTTGGTAAGTTTTCATTTTCCGAAGGACGTCGTTTTTTTTTTGTTTGTTTGTTTTTAATAAAACAAGTCCTCATGGCCGTGGCTCCATATTCATTCCGGGTAGCATCATTTCGGTTTTCCTATTCCATCGGCAAATGTGTTTCGAGTAGGGAAAAAAAAAAAAAAAAAAAAAACACGAACACCCTCGCTCTTCCTTCCGTTTGGCCGACGGACCCCTGATATAATTTTTTGATTTTTTTTTCGTTTTATTGTACTGATGATGCAGAAGTGTTTTGCTTTCAATGATGTTTTCTTGGCCCTCAATCGTCTCAACAACAGGGTGTTGATTATCAAACAGCATTATAGCTTCATTACAAACGAAGAAGGATGGCAGAGCTACAAGCGACTCTGTTTAGTCCGTCGTGCTCATTTCCGCAGACCTTCTTGACAAGGACTGCTGTTGCTGCTGCTTCTGCTTCTGCTGGTGGTGGTGGTGGTGGTGGTTGTTATCAGCAGCAGGCATTTTGCCAAAGCGTAAGTGGACTTGCCGTCGGAAAGCATTTCGTTTCAAAGGTTGCTCTCCGTCTGGCATGCCATCGTTTGTTCTCCTCCGAAGGCGCACACCCTGCGCGCAGCCAGCGATGCGCGCAGGCATCGACGATCGGAAGTGTACGATGGCGGAAGACGATTGACGGTGGGGATCGTGTGGCGGCGGAGGAGATTTCTTCTTCTTCTGGATTGCACCGAGACCGAGACATAGGGGGGTTTGGGCGATGCGCCGGCGGCGTAGCAAGAAGAAGGCGATGTGCGTGCTTGCACAAGGTGCGCGCGCAAGTGTCGGACATGTCGCCGGAAGAGGCGACCCGAGAGTCGTCTGCATCGCCATCAGCAATCGAGGGTAACGACGCCTCAGCAACGAACCCTGCTGCACCCAAGAATGGGGGGGTAGTAGCTGAACCCCCTATGTCCACTAGGGGAGAGGGAGAGGGAGAGGATGTAGCGGCGGACCCACCTCCCTCATCTGCATCTCCATCTGCATCTGCGTCTTCAGGAGCAGCTCCATCGTCACGCGGCGATGGCGATGCCTCGTCGGAAGCTCAACAGAAAAGTCCTTGGAGGCCGGGCGAAAGGAAGGGCTTCGTGGAGGAGATGAGGATCAGGGCCATGAAGCTGCACACGAGAGATCAGGCAAAGGAAGGAGAGAAGGAGAGTCAGGCCAAGCCCTTGGCCAAGTGGCAGCCGACCGTCACGGGTTACATTCAGTTCCTTGTCGATAGCAAAGCCCTGCACGACACCATGGAAGCGATCGTCGCCGACCCGTCGAAGCCTATGTATCAGAGATTCCTCAACACCGGCCTCGAGAGGTCTGAAGCTTTGGCAAAAGACTTGGAGTGGTTTGCCTCGCAGGGGAACGAGATCCCGGCGCCCGACGCGGCAGGTACAGCGTATGCGGACTATCTGCGGCAACTGGCGGAGTCCAATCCGCCGGCTTTCATCTGCCACTTTTACAATGTGTACTTTGCGCATTCGGCGGGAGGGCGCATGATTGGGCGCAAGGTAGCGGAGATGATTCTTGATGGTAGGGAATTGGAGTTTTATAAATGGGATGGAGAATTGCAGGAGCTGCTGACGAACGTGCGGACGCAGCTGAATGAGGTTGCCCAGGAGTGGTCACGCGAAGAAAAGGATGTGTGCCTGACGGAGACTGAGTTGTCATTCAAGTACTCCGGCGAAATCCTGCGACTGCTTGCGTCGTAGAGTGTGTGTGTGTGTGTGTGTGTGTGTGTGTGTGTGTGTGTGTGTGTGTGTGTGAGNGAGAGAGAGAGAGAGAGAGAGAGAGAGAGAGAGAGAGAGAGAGAGAGAGAGAGAGAGAGAGAGAGAGAGAGAGAGGAGGGAATGGACGGATGGATAGATTGTGGATAGATTGTCACAGAAAAAACGAGCTGCGCTTTGCACGAGCCCAACATTTTGTCACGATTGCGCTCTTCTGATTCTCAAAATAGCAATTCAAATACTCCGGCGAAATCCTGTGGCGCAAATCATCCTGTGGTGGCGCAAATCATCCTGTGGCGCAAATCATCCTGTGGTGCAAATCCTGTGGCGCAAATCCTGTGGCGCAAATCATCCTGTTCCGAAATCATCCTGTGGCAAAATCATCCTGTGCCGCAAATCGTCCTGTGCCGAAATCCTGTGGCGCAAATCATCCTGTGGTGGCGCAAATCATCCTGTGGTGGCGCAAATCATCCTGTGGCCCAAATCCTGCAACTCCTTGCGATGATGTAGAGAGAGGACGACAGACAAATTCTGTTACCGAAGCGGAAGCGAGCTGCGCTTCGCATGAGCCCAACTTGTTCACGATTGCGCTCTTCTGACTCGATAGGACAGAGAGAGAGGACAGATGGACAGAGAGAGAGGACGGTGGACAGAGAGAGAGGACGGTATTCAAGCGAAATCTAGCGATTCCTTGGGACGTAGAGAGAGGACGGTGGATGGATTGGTACCGCAGCGAGCTGCGCAGCACATGAGCCCAACTTCGTCACAATTGCACTCTTCTAACTCAACAGTGAATTGTGTATACAAGCAAGCAAGCAAGCAGGGAAGGAAGGAAGGAAGGAAGGAAGCAAGGAAGGAAGCAAGGAAGGAAAGAAGGAAGGAAGGAAGCAAGGAAGGAAGCAAGGAAGGAAAGAAGGAAATATATATGTATAGCTGAAGAGCCTGAAAGTTAACTTTGGCCAAAAAGACAAGTATGGTGGTAGGAGCGCCGAGGGGAGGCGGCGGCGGCGACGCAGTGGGCAGGTGGTGGTCATAGTCACATAGTCATCTTTTGGGCAATGAGAGGGGCAGAAGGGAGAAAAAAGAGGGACTTCTTTCGGACGTAGTAGTGTGTAGGGATGGAATTCGCCGCACCTTGTTGGATTATTATGATGTTGATTTGAGTTTTGAAATTAGTGGGTGTGTATAGCATTTGATGATTTGATCACATCTCAGTCGTCGATATTTGCAGTTTGTACAGTTGGTAAGCACATGATTATGACAGGTCACCGTTGGGGACAAGACAATGAGGGAACAAGTGTTTGTTGTGTAGGAGAGGGCAGATGTGCAATTTGGCTTGTAAATTGAAGACAATGAGGGAACGAGTGTTTGTTCTGTAGGAGAGGGCAGATGTGCAATTGGCTCCTACGTGTAAATGGAAATGCACCAGTCGTTTCCTGCGTGGATTGTGCCGATGGTGGAATGTGTTTTGACTCATTTGATGTTTGACGCTCGTTGGACTCCTTTGACTATTGAGTGATTTGATGTTTGACTCATTTGACTATTGACTCCTTTGACAATTGACTCATTTGACTATTGACTCCTTTGACAATCGACTCATTTGATGTTTGACTCACATTTGATGTTTGACTCACATTTGATGTTTGAGTCTTTGGACATCAAGATTGGAACATGGGAAAGCGCTTCTACGGAATGAAATATATATTGAAAAATCTTCGAATCTGTAAATAAAATAAAAATTTATTAAAAATGATTAATATTTTGTTATAAGAAAAAAAACACTCAGATCGAATCACAGAATGTGTGTTGCGGCTGTCGGTTGTATATTGGTGTTCAATCCCTTCAGAACCTCTTCTTCTTTTCTTCCCCCCCCTCCCCTCCTCCCCCACCCCCCCCCACCCCACCCCACAATCCTATTCTGTATTTGGTGACACCTTGGTCCCTGGCTTGCAACTTTGCACCTGTCATGTGAACTGCTGACCTGCCTTTTGCATGTCTAATCCGCCCAGCTGAAGAAAAGCCAGCTAAGCCTCCTCGACTGATGGTCGGTTCATCTCTCTCTCTCTCTCTCTCTCTCTCTCTCTCTCTCTCTCTCTCTCTCTCTCTCTCTCTCT